TTCCTATGAAGAAGTTTGTGATCTATAAACCAGCCCAATCTTTCTCTGAATGCTGATGAAAATCACCTCCATATCTAATGAAAGAACAATTATGCTCTCAGTATAAAATTGCATTGACAGCTTGAGAGCCTTTTAAAGATGCCTGTAAAGCAGATTTACTTGTTCTTGATTCTGCTGCTTTGTTGTTTCAAAAGCAACTCTGCCAAGTCTCTCCTCTCCTATCTGCCCCCCCCCCAAAAAAAAATCCCCAAAATTAGCAGTTTTGTGGGCAGTGACAGAATATGCCAACTCTATTTTTTTTCCTGTTCACCTGTTTCTTCAACTGATTGCCAGTTCTGCTTTTCTTCAGTTTTACCACAAGCTGCACAAGTTTCAGATATTTACTGGGAGCATTCCTGTATCTTATTTGAAGAGATAAGGATATTAAGTAATTAACAAAGATATCTTTCTCCCCCGAGTTCATTAAGCATTAAGCTTATTATCGGTGTCACAATAGAGCCGAGATCCCCAGTCAGGAGCCAGCCCGCCACGCTGCCGGGCTCCGCGCGCAGAAAGACGGCGCATTTGTCCCAGAGAATCGGCCCTCTTTGCAGCTGAACATCATGTACAAAGCAGGCAAGGGCAAACGCACAAAACAGGATTGAGAAATCTCCCCACAGAAGCCGGCTGCTCGGGGAACAGCTGCCCCCAGCATTATTTACGCACACGCAACCCTGGGCATTTGGGAGATTCTGCTCCGCGTCTTGTCTAGCCCATGACCCTCTGAACTCGCTGCAGAGACCGCCACAAAGGAAGGGGCTGAGCACTCTGAGCACTCACGTCTGCGCTGCTCTTCTCTCCAAACAGCGTCACTGGATATTGCAGTTATGTGGGACACAGGTCCCTATTTCACTGAAGCTGAACACACTGCGAGAGTCTCCCTCCTCATGCTCAAAATGGTGCATTTTCCAAAAGAAAACTTGCTTCAGTTTGTTTTCAGTGGGGTTTTTTTTCTTATCTACCTAGAAAGGCTGCTTTCCATTTGAAATGCTGTTCCTCTCTTTATGCACTTCACTAAAATGACCCAACGTTTCAGAATAAAAGGTGATAAGTGGTAATTAAAACATCCTTACAAGTACCCACACAATGAGCCAACTGAGAAAGAGCTGAATCTCAGATAAAGTAACTTCCACCTGCAATGCTTTATAGTGGGAGCACTGAAGTGGCACAGCAGTGAGGAAGTCTCCTTGGACAAGGGAAACCCTACACTGTGTTCGAAGACCCCCCCATCCCTCCAGGCTTTCAAGGCAGGTCCCCAGGCCAGGCCCAGGTTCCACCAGGGCCAGCCAAGGGCACCACCTCCAGCACTGGCCTCGGCATGGGGAATCCCCACAGCTGCTTTGCTGTCGGGTGTTCAAGAAAACATGGAACTTCATGAAACCGAGGTCTAAAGCAGGCTTTTTATTTTCAAGTATCCACAGCAGCTCACTTTTCAGCAGGCCTGGCAAGCATTCACTGACAGAGGGTCCCAATGGAGAGCCAACGAGGAGGGTAAAAGCTCGTCACTGTGGCCCATTTCCTCGCCTCCGCTCCACACGCTGACACTGAGGCGCCAGGGCGGTGCCGCCCCTCAGCAGGTCCCACAGGAACTCGGCCGGGGGTGAGGAACCGCTCCGAGACGCTGGGGCTGAAGGGACGTGTTCTGAAGCCAAGCACTGCCCTTGGAGGGGTGCCTGGAGGGATACCGACAGACTGGTTCAGGTGCGCAAGTCCCTCCTCAGGCAAGTTAAAGCCCCTCAAATTGGGACCGTCTGAAAAGACGGTGTGACCCACGATAAACACAGCTGTGTTAGCACCGAGCTAGCACACAACAAAGAGCAGAGAGCTGAAGACAGTCAGAGCACGTAGTTATGATAATATAATAACAAACCTCAGACTAATGAGCCAGATATATTATTCAGATCACTGTTTTACCGTGACCCAAGAAAAATATTTTTCCTATCTTTGACAGGAGCAATGCAAGTCATTGACATGAGACTTCTCATCTTCCAAAACCTTCACTTTTCTTGGACTTGACTTCTAAATAACACCCAGTTGTCCCCTGCACTGGGCTGAGCTATATCCATCCTGGTCATTTTGCTTCATAGATCACATCTCATTTATCAAGATGCCATATGAAACAAAACCAAAGCAAGAACCCCACCATTTCATATCTACAAAGCTATTTACAGGCATGTTAGC